AGCTTGACCCTGTAGCCATCATTCGTCAAAACTGCCCAGGGCTCAACTGAGGCAGGTTAGTGAACTGGGACCTGTTGTTGGTAGCTGTGCCTGCTCCTTCAGAACATCAGTTTTTCTTTTTTCCCCGCAAATAATAAAAACAAACTTTGTCCTTTTGACTTTCTAAATATGAGAATAAGTCAGACAAGAATGACTTCTGTAACACTTGCCCATGCTTAGAGTAAGACTACTTCAACTACGCATTAGTATGGCACCTCCACCTGTCTAGCCCCTCAACAAGGGCATCACACTAGTATAACAGCAGCTACCCACATGCATATTAGCACAGACATTTTGGTAAGGAAATAGGAATAATTTAACTAAAAATATAATTTTGCTTTATCACTGCCTTTGTTGGACTGCTATAGGTTTTATTTAAATAAAAGAAACAAAAAAAAACCTGACAAGTCTAAAGAAATAACCCTACTGACCCTACAAACTCTAAATGGGCGGCCCTGTGCCTGCTGGTTGTCTAAACCAATGCTCCTCCCTCTCAGAGTGAGGGAGTAACCAGTGAAACCTCATAGTGCTGTCATTTGAAATTAGTGCTTTGATTAGCAATGACAACATAACTCTGAGAATAATTTACTCTCTATGGAGCTGTGAAGTCTAAAGACTTGCTGCTGGCTTTGGAGAACACTGCAGAGAAAACAGCTTCTGACAATGTGGCCACTTGGTGGATCACAGTCTTTATCTGTCTCACATGCTTGGTCCAAGCAGAGGCTCAGGACAATACGGGCTTTTGCAGGTAAAACAGAGAAGAGAAATGAAATTCCATCAAATCAAGGTGACCTCAGGTCTACTGCCTCCACTGACGACTGCCAGAGTCCCAACAGTGCAATATGTGCCTTTGCTACGCTGGGCAGAGATGCAAGATGTAAGGCCTAGAAGAGCTCCATCTCTTCCTTCCAGAAACCTTGACGTTTAAACAAAGAATTTAGATCTTTCCTCCCTAACTCTTCTTGGGGCTTCCTAACCAGATTATTCTTGCTGATGCACATTCTTCCTTTCCCTTAGCTTTCCTATTTGATTTCACAATCGGACCCAAAATCAGAACCATTTTCCAAACCGCAATTGTACTTTTTTTTTCTGTCATCTTCTTGCATAACCTTCTGAAGAAGAAAACTGATAAATCCCAACTTTTTCTTTTTTTCATAGCCAATTTACAGATCAGGAGTGATGGTTAAATCTGCAAATATATCCTGTTCCATATTTAGTTAATTCTTTCATTATTACATGTAGATGCAGGTCTAGCCTAATAGCCCAGATAGGTCCCTGGATTATCTGGGCACATTTTATAAAGATAAAAATAAACCGGATTATTAAATCGAGTATTGTGGAGTCCTTTGATCTCTGATAGCGATTATCCATTCATATAAGACACTGACAGAGTAGGTGGATATGGAGGGATACTCAAGTATGGGCCAAGTGTAAACACCTGTAACTTCTTTATCAGAACATTGTTATTTTTCAAGAATTACTTGAAGGGATCCCCATAAAGTTTGTGAGCCTCTTTACAGAGCCTCCAAAGAATAGTTTTTGTGACCTTATCTTAGACTTGTACTAGAATTTCCTTTTTTTTTCTCCTCTTTCGGATAGTTTGTTGGTTTGGTGTTGGTTTTGTTTTGTTTTTTAAACCCTCAGACTGATCTAGAATAGTCATTCCTCAGTCTCTTTGAGATGTAGAAAAGCATATTGATTATAAACCCTTTCTTGTTTTCACATGCACCCTACTGCATGACCCCTGGTAGTGGGGACAACCATTCAGAGACCAAAGGAAGACTGGTTTCTTTTACTTCCTTAGAAATAGCATGATAAGGAGGTGTTTCAGGGAAGAAGGTGCTTTCTTTTTCCTTCTAAAAAGAGGAAAGAGGAACAAATTTTCAGCTACTTTGGCTTAATATCAATGCTGGTTTTGGGAAAAGTTATCCATATTCACAAGATTGCTTACTGAAAGAAAAAAAAAATCCAAAGGAACTGATGAAAGCATTTATTTCTGAAGGTCAGCAAGTATCAAAGCAGTCCCTAAGGGCTGCCTTTGACTTTCCACAATCTGCAATGAGAACTCTTGCTTCTGCAATTTCCATTAAGCAGTCTTGTTTGTCTTCCTAATCATCTGGACTCCTTCCAGAAATCAAAGCCAAAGTTGAGATCCTCCTTTTTTGAACGAGAAAGACTTTTCAGCACACCAAATAAGTTTTTGAGCACTTATTCTAAGCAAAGGAATGAATATGTGGACAGGCCTCAGAGTTTATCAACAGTCCATGAGAAAGCCAGACAAGCAACACTGTTGTTACTGGAGTCATGAACATCCTTTCTTCTCCCTTTTACCAGAGCATACCATGCAGTGCCTCCCTGCTACTGGCACAAAGCCAAGTGTCCCAGGCATTTTTAGAGGTTCAAATCTCAAAAGGGACCCTTAAAAGTACTAGTCCTGCTTTTATAAAGCATTTGTTTATAACTCCTTTCCTTCTCAGGTTTCTAATTATATAATGACCTTTTAATTGACAAGCCACACAGTACATCTTTCTATGGCACTATCCCTTGTTGTTCCCCAAGATAGGAAACGCAGGAACCATCCAAACAAGAAAAAAAAAAATCTGTATTTTCAGTTCTTCTAAGTGAACTCTACCTATTCTTACACACTGCCTACCCTCCCAGCCTCCTCAGAGTACCTTTGTAGTGACTTCTAAGAGGCAACACTACGGGGCCAGGCACAGGCACATGCAAGAACATATTGACTCCCCTGTTTTCCCCTCCACACTCTGGGCTGACATTCTTTCATCCTACCTACTAGCAAGCATTAGGCTCATTTACCTTCAGAAATTAAACACACCACTGTGTAATATCTATTCACTCATTCCTATTGCTGCTTTTGCTTCCAAGTTTTTTTATCTTCTCTAGTGAAACCTGAAGCAAGCTAGTGGTAATCCTAGAAGAGCAATACCCTGGATACTCAGGTGAAGTCTCTTGTGAAACAGCCTCTTTTGGTTAGTGTTTCTGAACAGTCAAATAACCTTCAGTCTTCCCTGTAACACCAACCTAGGAGCTACCTCCTGATCTGCTTATGCTTTCACCCTACTCCTTTAGAGACAGCTAACATTATAAAAGCAATCATCAGAGCTCCTGCCCATTTACCACGCCTGGCAACATCTAGAGTGAAGGACAGTGTTTCCCCACTTCTCTCATTCTGTGTTCAGTTTTTTCTGGCCTCAGAACCATAGCCTGCTGCTGCTGCTAGTAAGCAGTCTGACAAGGGGGCAAGCAGCCTCTACCTAATACGAGTTAAAAATCACAACTTTTGCTGCCTTGTTCTTTTTACAGATCAGTGTCCTTTCCCATCCTGCCCATATCATACCCATTCTTTCTACCCAGATAACTCTATTCCTCCTATCCTCTTTTTCCACAAGCAATTTTCTTATGCAGCACTGCAGAACTTTGGTTTTGCTCCACTGAATGGTTTCTGCTTTCTCCTAACAGTCAGGTTTTTCCTGTGGATCTCAAGCCTTGAATTTTAAAAACATGTTCTGCATTTAGTTTGGGTTAAGATTCATACCACTTAACTTTAGGTATCTAAAGTTCAGCATCCAGCTTAAGATGGCTGTTTACCCGAGGTCCCCCTCTAGTCTGGAGAGGAAGGACTTCCACAGAGCAATCCCCCCCCCTCTAAAATACTTTTACAGAACAAGTAGAATGAAGCATGCTATGAAAGAGCCCATAAGGGGAGCTTGGTTAGATGGGAATACCAAGACTGCTTCAAACTCTAAGTTATCTTCATGGCCTCTTTCCAGTATACTTTCAAATCTGTCTCAGTTCCACTATTATCTTTAGCTTCATCTTGAGTCCTTCAGTCTGCTCTTCCATGAGGATCACCTGATATTTCAGAAATGAGAGGTTCTGTTGAATATCTCAAGGAAGATACACACCCCAGAGGCTCAAATCCCACCTTTGCTGTCCCCTCTCCTTGGAAATCTATAGCACTGCTTTAAGATAGGTGACTCCTACAGATATAGAAACCATCATTGCCTTTTCTTTCTAGTCCTTAGACTACAGGAAGGAACGATGAAAGCCCTCCAGACTTCCTACACTGAACACCTACACCACCTCCTTATTTCTTCAAAGATCAGCGTCATGGCAACTAGTGCTTCTCATCTTCCCTTTGTAAGCTGCTGAATTGGTTTAGAGGCACTCCATTACCACAGCTCTTTATTTGCATTCCTCTAAAATAAGTTGTGCTGCTCCAAAAAACCTGAAAGGTTTCAGCAAGTGCTGAATAAACTAAGTAGTTCATGTATAAATAATATATCAGCTATCACTACATATTTAATGGATGCATCACAAACATATTTTTAGATGGCCTAGGTTAGTCAGAAGGACTATGGCATCTGCTTCCCATTCCCATGGCAGTGACTCCCATTTCACAGTTCTGTGTCCATCTGAAACACCTACTTGGACATGGCCTTTTCATCCCTGTCTCCCGTACAGCTTTGCTGCTGCATGAGAGACCATCCCACTCCACAGGCAGCTCACTGACTGGGGTGGGATGGCTTCAGGAAAAAGGTGCTATTTGATATTCTCTTACACACTTCCTCCAGCCCTTAGCCACCCATCTTGTCTTAAAAAGGTAACAGATTAGAGGTGACAGTGTAAATCAGATTACACACCGACGACAGCTTCTCCTTGACCCCAGCCCCATGAGAACAGGAACACAACACAGGCATTAGAAAGTGTAAAAGTTAGTCACTGGGGAGTCAAGCATGAAAGCCACCTGCTCAGGAGCTGTCCCCTGCCTTGTCGGGGACATGGCCACACAGGCTACAAATGCAGTGATCATTAGCTGGTGAGCACCAGGCCCTTTCATAACCAGCAAACAACTGAACCATCTCTCCTCTTCTCCCCCGAAGGCTTCCACTCGCACAGACGCCGGCCAGCCCGCGCAGATGCTGTGCCTCCCCACTTACTCCTCTTTTCGGTGAAGCTCCTCCTCCGACTCGGTGAGCCGCTGCTTCAGGGCTGCGATCATTTCCACCGCCACGTCCACCTGCTTGCTCAGGGCCCGCTCCCGGCGCTGCACCTCCTGCTTCTTCTGGGACAGCTGCACGAAAGCTGCCCGCACCTCCAGCAGCTCCGCCGTCTTCTGCGCCAGCTCTTTGGTAAGCTTGTCGATTCGCTTCTCGATTGTTTTGTCCACGGCCTCCACCATCCTGTTAAACTTTTCTCGGACGTGCGCCTCGAAGGAGGCTTTGGAGTCAGTGGCTGAGAGGCCGGGTTTAGAAACCTGCTTGCCGGGAGACTCAGCCGACACATAGTTTGCAACGTAGGAGACAGGCCGCTCGGCTTCCACCTCCAGCGCCCGCCCACGCTTTCCACTCTCGCAGGACGCTTCGCAGAAATTCAGGTAGGAGCCTTTCTGCTGTAGGGCGGCACCAGGGCTCCCCGGGCTGCCCT